TCTCTGAATTCAATAAACATATATTTAAAAAATAAAACATATAAGTTCAGGGAAGACACAATTTAGTCTATAACACCATAATAAATTTTTTAAAAATAAAACAAAATATAATATTAAAGATACTATATTTTTAAAATAAAGTAGAATACATAAAATCCCTAATAAAAAAGAGGTATGAATTGTTTTTTGGCCTATATCTTCATGTTATCCTGGCTCATAGTCTCATCTTTTTAATATTTTACATAGGCCTTCTCACTCAACTTATTTCCCTAGCAGAAATGTTTTATTTCTTTTTTCTGTAGTGGCTTTCTAAGATCTCAGATACTAAAGTGAAATCATAAGGTAAACAAAATTTTGTTGTGAGCAGCTAGCTGTATCTACCTGCTAGAGTGTTAGGGACTAAATGTTTGTTTCCCCCCTAAATTCGTATGTTGAAACCTAATTTTCAATGTGATGCTATTTGGAAGGTGGAGACTTTGGGAGGTAATGAGGTCAAGAGGGTGGAACCCTCACGAATGGGATTAGTGCCTTCTAAGAAGAGGCCAGAGAGCTAGTTCACTGTTTCCACAACTGGAGGCTACAACAAGATACCAGCCATCTGTGAACCAAAGGAGAGCTCTCACCAGGCCCTGGCCATGCCGGCACCCTGACCTTGGACTTCCAGCCTCTATAACTGNCCGGCCATGCTGGCACCCTGACCTTGGACTTCCAGCCTCTATAACTGTAAGAAATGAATTTGTTGTTCGTAAGCCACCAGTTTATGACATTTTGTTATAGCAGCTCAAGCTAAGACATAAAGCATTATCTACTTTTTAAAGAAACTATTCATCTAGCAAATATCATCACTCACTTTCAAAATTATAGACAAACAAAAACTGATACGAGTTAGGTGATAATAAGGAAAATCTGTAATTGGTTAACTGTCCTCACCCAGTGTCCCATTTCTACCTCAGTATAGTTGATCAGTGGAGGGCTAAATGCTTGACTTCCCTGATCCTGTGAAACAGGATTCAAATGAAATCATAGAGAAAATAGTGGCCAAACTTAACATCTCTGGAAAACCAGCACATTAGCTAGAAGTCAACATTAAATTCCCCAAAAGGTCCTGACAACCTGAAAGGATGGGCCTAATTAGGTGATAAAATTTAGTAGAAATAAATATATGATTCTACACTAGGGTCCAAAAGCACTTACTAGAAAAATATAAGAAAATATGGCTTAACAAGGATAGACATTAAAAACCTTATTAAGAACTTAAATTGGTAATAAAGACACTGAAGGTCAATAATGTGCTTATTGAGAGTTAATATATTAAGTGGTATCAACAGAATTACAACTTCTTATAAGAAAGAGATGATCAACCCATTTTATTCAAGGTTTTTCAGGTTGCATTTGGAATTTTTGTTTCCAGGTGATACACTTCATAAAGTATAACATTAAAGTGGTGACTATATTTAATAGTGTAAAATAAAGAATAGCAATAAAATTAGAAATTTAAGGAAGAAAGAAGGCTGGAGAGACAGAAAGCTTGTTTTCAAATATCTGGAGGGTTGTCATTTAAAAAGGCTTTAGGCCAATCATTCATGACTCAAAGAGGAAGAGTTAAGTTGGCCTGAAGAACCCCATCTCATCGTTTAGGAAATATCATTTCTTCAGGGGGGTACTTCTAGGTTCTCTATGTTGTGAGCTCCTGATCACTGGCTTCCTCAGCACTCATCCTTCTTGTTGGACACCAATCCTATTTCAAACTGCAAATCATATCAGCTCTGCTGGATTGTAAATTCCAGAGAGGGTGGACCATGTCTGATTTGTTAGTCCTATAACACTCCACGCCTAGCACAGGTGAATGAAAGAATNCTGTAAATTCCAGAGAGGGTGGCCCATGTCTGATTTGTTAGTCCTATAACACTCCACGCCTAGCACAGGTGAATGAAAGAATACATGAGAAATAGATTTGACTTTAATGTAAAAATGTAATTCTTAATACAGTTGTGTAGACATTCACAGGCTGCCTCAAGCCTGTGAAGTAGCATTTTTTCTTTCATGGGAGGCCTCACTGAGGCTTAAAATGGCAGTCCCCTTGCCCGGGGCAGGCATGAGTGAGAGAGAGGGGATAGAGCATGGGGGCGGGGGCTGGGTTAAATGACTGTAGGCCTCCTTGACGACCCGAGGCCCTGTAATTTGAGGTCTGCTGGGAAAGGTTATGCTCATTATATCATAGATTTCATTTTAGTGCATCAGCCGTATTCTGACTCATTTTGGAAAAGTTTAGTAAAAAATTTCTATGTAATTGCTCCTGTTTAAACTCAAACCTGTTATGTTTCTATCTTTCCCTTCTTCTCTCCATACTCCAAAAAGCTGACGATTAATGTTTTCATTTTACTGTAAGGATGCAAAAAATTTCGGAAGACACAGAAGCAGAGAGTGAGGTGAGGTCAGACTCAGAGACGAGGAAAGCATTTGAGACTCAGCATCAGGTGCCAAAAGGAGATGCAGATTTGATAAATGACACAAAGTCATTACCTCTCCATTTCCTTTTCTGTCGATTCGATTTTTTTATAAGGGCCCAATTTTCCACTGAAACAGGTCAGATTTACAGCAAATACAAAAACTGCATCTTTTATTTATAAGGCAAAAAACCTACCCAACCTATTTTTCTTTAAAATTGTGTGTCCTATAATACTGGCCTTCAGAGTATTAGGCAAACATTACGTAAAACTTCGGTTATTCCTGTGGGAGTTATTGAGTAAAGACCCTGAAGGTCAATCTCCTCAGCACCATTCCTGAGACGACCAATTCTGACCTTGGTTACTTCACTGTTTGATAACGAACTTTTGGGGTGAGGCTGTGAGAGGTGCGAGCAAGCACACACACATCCCTGCCACCCTCCCTGCACTCTGCTTCCCTCCTAGAGGATCATCTTTTGTGAGAGTGGCCTGTAGCCGGAAATCAATTAATGGTTAATTATGGAATTAGGACAATAATATGTTATTAGCAAGTAATAATTAAAATACAAACATAACATTTCTTTTGAATCTTATTACATCCATTGAGAAGGTTTTGAAAAAAATTAGGTAGACAAGGTAGAGACAGGGAGTCACATTAGGAGCAGATGAGAGGGGGGAGACGGGCGAGTGGAACCCTGGAGGAGAGAGCGCCCCTGCGGGGAGGCACCCGCGACCAGGCAGAGGAGCTTCGAGAAAGCCCCCCCAGGACTGAGTATGACTGTCCTGAGTAAGTGTGCACTGGACGGAGATAATTCCTGTCACCTGTGAATTGAATGTCTAACTCTTTCTGAAGACTTAATTCCTTATTCTAAGGATGAGGGAAACAAGAGGCTACAGAGAAAATATAAGGAGAAGCCACACAATTTCAAATGCTTAACACTTTCCGTCCGTACCATGTCATGCCAGCATTCAAAGGCCAGAAAGCAGATGCTTGACTTTACCTCACTCTGTATATTCTCTTTTTCAAATAGAATTTACTGGGGTGACATTGTTTCACAAAACCATACAGGTTCCAAGTGTACGACGCAATAAAACATCACCTGCGCATTGCATCACGAGCCCATTGCACCGAACACAGCCTCTTGCTGTCCCCCTGTCCCCCCTGTTCCCGCCTCCACAGAGCTCCCCGCCCACTCCCATTCCCTCTGGCTATCACCACACTGTCCTCTGTGTCCATGTGTTATGAATGTTTTTTGTCTAATCCTTTTACCTTCTTATGCTTTCTACAGCTTTCAGCAAAACCTGTCAAATAATGTGGTTATCCCTAGGTTTAGAATAACTTCAAACATGTCTAAGAAAAAAAATACATTTGAAAAAACTATGCCTACGATAAGCAAAAATTACATGGGTGTACTCTTCAGAGCAGTGCTTCTCAGACTTTAATGTGCATACAGATCACCTGGAGATCTTGCTAACATGCAGCTTTTAAACCGGTAGGTCTTGGGTAGGGCCTGTGATTCTGCATTTCTAACAAGTTCTCAGGTGATGCTGGTGATGCTGGTCCATGGACCACACACTCAGCAGGTTTTAGACCAAGACATGAAAATCCAGCTTTGGCAGGAAATCTGTGCCCTCAACTTCCATTCTCACTTTTATTTCTTTTCCCCTTGAGTTACTGCATTATTTTCTGTTTCACTGGTATGAGAAAATTTTAGAACCAAGCGGAGTGGGTACAAAAGAAAAGAAAATATTCTAAAATTTCAGCCTCAAGTGGAGCAATAATAAGATTTTAAGTTGTCTCCAAGGTAGAGACATAATTTTTGATATACATGAATTATACATACTTCATGCAAATCATTGAACAGATACACAGTAGCCTTCTACTTCTTTCCATAAATGAAGCCCTGTGCGCATAGTTTACAGGAAGTTTACTTAATGAATGCACAGTATCCCATTGCACTGCTCAGGTATGTCTAAAGAGTGCGGTGATCTGAATAATTCCAATTTTCCAGATAATTGAAGTTTATCTCTTTAAGTTTCCAAACATACTTATTTTAGTGATTTTTAATCAAAATTTTTCTGGAATTAACATATTCAAGACTTGTTAGATACACAAAACAAAATTTAACATATCTACAATTATCCAGGGTCCACAATGATTATTCTGTGGCAGGAAATAACAATGCTATAGGAACTACTCAGGTTTAGATGGGCTGTGCCCTCTTACGCAGTAGTGTCTTAGATGCCCTTTAGGGGTCTCTTAGCCTATTTAGAGCAAACTTCTGCCTCCTTCCTCCATGATCAACTGTCGCTTCATACTGTTCTCTGATTGCCCTCCAATTACAATTTTTAATCTGCTGCTTTATTTTTTGAGTAATATTCTGGGAAAGATTTGGAGACTGGCTCTCATTTCCCTCATCTTTTCAATACAGGAGCTCTCTTTCAGGGCTTTGGGTTAGTGGTCACCTGAATCAGTACAATCATTTCAGTTTAAAGAAATCACGCAAGTTGATCCCCTTTAAGCACCTCTTACTATGACTACTGAATACTCACTGATCCCGGTGTCCTTACAGTACTGGACCAAGAACTGTCCCATGACTCTTAGTAGATGATTATATTCTTGGACATTGAGAAATTCCTGCTTATTATGAGATGGTTCCATGATCTCCAAGGGTATATTAACAATTCCAACCACGCCTGCACCAAGTCTGGGGGAATAAATATATATATAAATTTTGTGAAATTTAGCTAAGGAAAAAACACACAAATATACCCAGTATTTTAAAATCATTTTTTTACAAAAATAAATGTGTTTACCTGGTCTGAACCATGTCAAAGTTTAACAAGTTATTTTACAATTGTATTTTATTACATAAAATCTATGGTGATCCCAGGTATATTTGGTCTCTTAACCCAAAATGGCTTTAGTATCATTACTATGCTAACACACCTCCTTCTCCAAACCTGTCACCTTATATGGGGAGTCAGGGTGGGTGGGAAGAGGAGGTCTCTTAGCATTAAGCACCACAAACAAAGCTCTGCTGCAAGAAGTGGACATAATCCTGTTAATGAAACTGGCCAGAGAGTCACTTTCTTCATCATTTCATCTCTCAAGTTGGATTTCTCCTCATCATTGCAAAGGTCCAAGGGATGCTCACTGAATTCTACTAAGGGAACATAAGGGCTGGATTATTCCCCGAGAGTAACAGGTTATCTGCCTGATAGTCTGATGGATAAACTGGGTGTTTTCCCACATTTTTAGCAGCTCATGATGTATGTAACTAGGATATTCTACTTAGTGACATAACCTGTTTGGGGAAAGAGTATCTGGACTCTAACTCTTCAGGGATAACCCAATGCCCTTGGAATGGCATACAAATCAAGCCTTCCCAATCTGAGGACCCTGCCTACCAGGTTTTTCACCACTCTCCCCTTCCACCTAGCCCTCCCTTCACTACTCATTCTGTAAGCCTAAGTTAGGACATCGTTTCTCCCAGGAAGCCTGACTGGTTTGACTTATTGCCCCTCCTATATGGTCTTTTTACACCTGATGCTTGCTTCTAGTGTATATTCATTCATTCATTCATTCATTCATTCATTCATTCATTCATTCAAGTTGAGCACCTAGCCTTATTCCAAGAACTAGGAACCGAGTAACTAACAGAAAGGCAATGTCCCTGTTTATGAAGCTTCTCTTGTATTGAACGCTGACAAGGCATGGTGCTAGTAAATGGATAAATGTACAAGATCATTTCAGATGGTGATAAGTGATCTGAGGAAAATAAAGCAGGTGCTGTTATATGTAAAGAGTGATAGATATGTGTGTGGGGGGGTGATGGCAAGGGCCAATTTTATTTAGACAGTCTAGGAAGACCTTCTTGTGGAGAGGCCTTGAGAGCTGGTGCCTCAAAGACATGCCAGGACCAGCAGTAAGATGTAGACAGACGGTTCTAGGCAGGAGAAATGGCAAGTGCCAAGGTCATAAGGCAGGAGCGAGCTTAGGATGTCTGAGGAGCAGGAAGCCGGCTGGTGTGAGGGGAATGCAGTGAGAGGGTGGGTATGGCCAGGGCAGGGGGTGTCACAGAGCCAGGCAGAGACCAAATCGCTGGAAGACTATGGCAACTACTTCTATTCTATATGCATTGGGGGTTTAAGCAAGACAGTAAACTAATTTATGTTTTAAAAGATCACCTTTGTTGTTTCCATACAAATAAAAAATATGTATTCATATACTCGTCCCTTTCACTGGACTGTAAGTTCCTTAGCAAATGGTAGGTCTTCACCATCTTGTCTGCAGAGCTCAGTACAATGCCTGGCATGCATGTTACTGCAATATAAGTGCTTGCTAAGTGAATATATGAATGAGTTGTTAATTCCTGAGAGTGAGGAAGCAAGATGAAAAATATTCCCCTGAGCCATTCTAATGGTCACGGTTGTCTTGTCGGACTCTGTGCCTTCCTACGGTCTCTTTTCAGGACTCTACATAATTCATGAAAGCAGCTGGTGGAGTTTCAGACCATTGGGAAAGCACCAGACTGTATTACTCTGGAATTCAAATAGGCTGGAGAGTGCTAAAAATATATGCTCATGCGGGTAACTGGCAAGAACTCACACATGAAGGGGCTACACAAAATATTACAATGCTTTGTAAGACTATGGAATTTTTCTTTTCTAAAATATCTTTAATATGCTTGCATTATTTTTTAATTGGTAAAATACTAAAAACATAACTTGAGTAGGTGACACAAAGAATGTTAAAACATCAATTTGCTCAGAAAATGCATTGAAAAAATTTCCCAAAGTGAATTTCTTCTTCAGAGCAGGCGCACTGCTCTCCTGGTATCATAAATTAGGCAGATTAATGCCTGCACATTGATGGGAAGGGTGAACAGAGGATATGACACCTGCTCCCATTGTGTTTAATCTCACATCTAACTCAGCAGACAGAGTTGTATTGCAGCCTCCCTCCTCCTGCCTACGCTTCTGAAAATAAAAACATACTCACAAGGACTTCAGTTTCAACTGTGGGCCCACTTTCTCACGCATCTTGACCAATCGGTTATTACTGTAAATGAACATCCCAGCTTGGCCTTGGTTTTCTATGTTCACTCCAAAGAACAGGGAGAGTGTCCTTGCTGTTTTTAATTCTCTAGCATTATATTTAAAAAAGTTTTTGTTAGGTAAAAACATACAGTTTACAAAATGTTAATAATTAAAGCTAGAAGGCAAATATCAAAGAAATTATAGATAAGATATCCAGGTATTTTGCAAAAGCTAGTGGGTAAATTCAGTACCCCTATATAGCCAAGTATTCTGCATAAACATAATGGCCCATAACTATACCAGTCAAACACAAGCATTCCTGGTTTCAAAAACAAGCTTGCCAACTTACATTTACAAGAACTAGAAATGCCAAAACAGTTGTAAAATGTTAACTGATCTAATATGTACATTGCAGCACTTCTGAAAAATGATGATTTGACTGTTTTAAAATTTGGCTATTTTTAACACTGGAGATGTGATTCCTAACTTCCAGCATGTTCTCAAGTCTCCAAGTATCTATCCTACATAGTTTGGAATGTGCCATAAGATATTCTCTAGCTTTCTTTCTTTGTCCAAAATCAAAGGTAAATCAAAGTTAATAAAGCAAGTTTACAAGGGCAACAGATATGAGCTCCTGTTTTTCTAACTCTGTCCTGCAATACTGTGTTTTACGTGACTTTTCTATTAAAAGTATAAGATGGAAGTTCAAACAAAGCAGAATATGATAGAAACAACCATAGTAACAGGAGGCTGTTTGGAGCCAGGAAAAGTACCTGAATATAAGAACCAGAAAGATGGACCTAGTTTCAAATACAAGCTTGTCTTTGCAATAACCATTTTATTACATAGTGATCACTATGGACGCATCACTTCAACTTTCTGTCTCATCTAAAAAATAAAAAAAACACCTGTCTAGGCACATGGGATGCCGTGAAGACTAAAAGAGATGTTAAATATAAACCTGGAACATTGGCTCACATATATTTAACCCTACATGTACATGAATTTAAAATACGTAACTATGAACCCACATTAGTAACTTCCTCAGAAAGTCTGATGTCCTCTATATCACATCCACATAGAAGGACTGAAAGAACTTTATCATTATCTTTGAATGACAGAGATACATTGAATCAGTTCAGTAAGTACCTTATGTCACCTGTAATAGCTCATAGTCATGAATTTGAAAAAACAAAGCTGTTTTTGAGGAATGAAAGGAGCTACAGCATGGGTGGAGGGGAACAATTATATTTGCTAGCATTCTTGGGAAAAGAAAATAACATTTGCTGAACAACTTTTTTTCAAAAATGTCTACTCAATAATTAGATCCCCACTCTTGAACAAAAAAGAATACTGACTATGTAAGTAACCCCAAAACAGGGTGTCACAGGATAAGACATAATCACTCTGTGATATTAAGTGGTATATTGTCTTCATTTTTTAAAAAAAAAAAGCATCCTGCCCGGCCGGGTGTGGCTCAGGGGTTGAGCGTCGACCTAGGATCCAGGAGATCGAGGTTTGATTCCCGATCAGGGCGCATGCCCGGGTTGTGGGCTCCATCCCCAATGACTCAACATTGATGTTTCTGTCTGTCTCTCTCTCCCTCTCCTTTACTCTCTCTGAAATTAATAAAAATATATTTTTTTTAAAAAAAAAGCATCCTGATATAAACATTTCACACCAGCTGGCATTATTATTAATAACATATATAGGTTGGTTACATTTCCTGCATATCATTGTGACTTCAAACAAGCCATCAACTAGCTTTTCTTTTTCTTCCTGAAGACTATAAAGAGGCCGTGACTTTTCAATGAAGATTTCTCTGACATTCATTTAACATTTATTTTGATAAATGCATAACTAACATTTCAAATTTAAGGTTTGGGGAAAGGGATGATTATACAGCGTTTCATGATTCACACAAAAATAATGCTAAAAACTAGTAATACTTCCCTGAAAATTTATTTCTCAAAGTTAATGCAGTTTTCAAAGTCTGACCTTACTTCAACAACAACAATCACTTTCAGTTCAACTTGTGAAACTGAAGCTAAAATACAACTGAGCTAAAGAGCAAGTCAACCTTACAAATGTAAATAATGGTGCTGTAATATAGGCTTGCCGTTTTTATCTTAACTATATATAAGTGATAAATTTACTTGAAAGATTTTCTATCTTAAATTGTCATCAGTAGTAAAAGAGGGGAGGAACTGGGACAGACTTTTCAGAGTTTAAATAGCAAAGGACACAGCAAATGTGAAGTTACAGCTGATCCCCTAGGAAGTTCACTTCTTCATCCCATCAGACACGGAACTAGTTCTTCCTCTATATTTCAGAGGTTTTAACATTATGTAAACATATGTGCACATGCAAATGTATATTTTATAAATACTTTACATTGATTATGTTGGTTGGGGGATTTTGATCATATGATGCTTAATATCATGAGATGTCACAGGCTGAGAAAGAGAATCTGTCACAAAAACCACCAAATCAGCCTACTCAGAAATCAGAATTTGTTTTAATAGAGCACTGAGGATTCTGGTAAACAGAAAATCTTATGTCTTACCTCCGTTTCTCTTTAAGAATCTTATGCTTTGCTTCTACATCTTCCAAAGCTTTCTGTAATGCGTCCTGGAGAAGACCATTTGGTTAGAAGAGAACATTATGCCATTAGATCAACGACAACCGAGCTGGTGTTTATTATCCTATTATACAAATGTTTCACAAGGGTAACAGTGCTAGGTCACACTGCTTAATGCAATTTTACCACAGTAGATAGATACTCAATAAATATTTCATAAATGACTAAGTTCCAATAGCTAAGAAGACAAACTACATCCCAGCCCACAGTTCTCTTCTTGCACAAATTCTGATGTCCTTTCTGCCGAAAGGGCCACTGCTCTCTGTGAGCACAAAGGTTTTCACATAAACTCCCTGACAGCTTGGGAAAGTCACTCAGTGTACCTAAACTCTGGCTTTCGTCTGTGAGAACAGAAAATGCTGAATCACAAGATCAATCAATCAATCACTAGGGCTTCTTTCAGGAAAAAAAATACATAATTTAAAAATTTTGTCAGACCCACGTAATTTGTGAAACCCACGTAATTTTATTAACCTGTGTCACCCCAATAAATTCAATTAAAAAAAAAAATGTTGTCAGTAGCCAAAAGAAAATGCCTCCTTTATATAAAGTTCCTGATGCTCCCGGAGNAAAAAAAAAAAATTTTGTCAGTAGCCAAAAGAAAATGCCTCCTTTATATAAAGTTCCTGATGCTCCCGGAGCTCTCCCTTCAGAGGCTATGCCACCTCAGAGTGCCTCAATACCAGTCCCNTAAAAAAAAAATGTTGTCAGTAGCCAAAAGAAAATGCCTCCTTTATATAAAGTTCCTGATGCTCCCGGAGCTCTCCCTTCAGAGGCTATGCCACCTCAGAGTGCCTCAATACCAGTCCCTCTGTCTTTCTTCTCTTTTAATTTGACATATTTGGCTCAATCACTACCCTATCTCTAATAAACTCCCTCTAACTAGACAGGGAAAAACAAGCATCACCATTTAACAAATAAGAATAGACTTTTAACGCGCTTCATCTACCTGATGTGAAAAATGGGCATCTCATTTGATGGGTATATCACTGACTAAATATTATTTTCACTGACTTAAAAGTAAAAACAAAGCCCGGCTGGCATGGCCCAGTGGTTGAGCATCGACCAGGAGGTCATGGTTTGATTCCGGGTCAGGGCATGTGCCCGGGTTGAGGGCTCAGTCCCCAATAGGGAGCATGCAGAAGGCACCTTGTCAATGACACTCTCTCTCATCATTGATGTTTCTATCTCTCTCTTCCTCTCCCTTCTTCTCTCTGAAATCAATAATAATAAAAAAAAAAAGGTAAATGGTTATTTCATTTCATGTCAAATTCAACCACTCAACTGCCAAGAGGAATTTAAGAGGTCAAACACTGAGGTCATTCTGCTTTGCTCTCTCCTCTGCATTAAAGAACCCAGCGTGCATCAGAGCTACAAAGTGAGCTGGTCAAAGACGTCCCAGCCCTTCCTAGCAGTACACTCAGAACACAGGGCAAAGAGGCAGCGAGAGGTGACAGGTTAAGGCAACAAGGAAACCAGGTCCTGACCCATTAGAAAGAGTCTGTTCCTCTTGTCTCTCAAATACATAAAGCCAAGGAAATTTATGTCTTAGAGACAAAACAACACAAGATTAAACTTTAAATTGATAGTAAGATAGGTCTATCTTTAACTTAAAAAAAAATAAGTGGGGGAAAAAGAGAATTTGGGGAGAGCCATGGATAGCTTTGGGGTATTACCATGTGCTACTCTTTGATTTCATCCCCAATCATGACCATTAGGTATGAGAGCTCTTCATCACACACAGCCCTGGTCTTCAAACTTTAGGGCAAATCACGCAAAGGATTCATACAGTGAGTCCATGGGAGAGAATGAAGGAAAGATGGAGTAAAGCCTTTTTTCTCCAAATACCCACTTATCCCTTTGTATGCAAGCAAATACGCAGTATAATGCTTCACCATGGTAGAAAACCTTGCACCATGTTTTTGGTAAAAGCAAACTTAAATACATGTCCTGCAGCAATATTCTTTTTCTCTTAGTTGCCATGCATTATAATTAATAACAATAGTTCTTTATAACCTATCTCACCCCTGGGTATACTGCAAGGATTACAGAGAATGTTTATGAACTGTGTGGAGCACCTCATAAGAAAAGAGCTTTGTGAGCTAGAAGCATTGTTATTAATATTCATAATTATAGCACATAATTCCCAGCACTAAAAGGATTGCTTATTAGTCTTCTCCCTGCTCTGCCCATTTATTTAGGTCCATAGGGATCTATAATTTGAAAAGATATTTTCAAGGAGACTTGAGAAGCTAGTTTTTTTCTGCTTTTCATTATTTTCTCTTTTTCTCATATTCCCTTTCTCTTCATTAAAAAAAAAAAGTTGGGATTCTCTTCCCCATGGCACACATTCACCCCACTTTTTGTTCATCTTTGCTCTGTCTCAGTCTTCCCCTTCTTCCACTTGCTGAGTTTCGTCTCCTTTCTCTGCACTCATCTATTCTGTTTACCTGTGTTAAAATCAACTTAATCATCTGAACTTGTTTGCACTTAAATGCCGGGAGGCCGAGCTGGTGTGGCTCAGCGGTTGATCACTGACCTATGATCCAGGACTTCGGTTCTATTCCCCGTCAGGCACATGCCCGGGTTTCGGGCTCGATCCCCAGTGGGGGGGGGGGGCAGGAGGC